GGTGTGACAGGGATTCGAACTCGCGACCCTCTGATTGCAAGTCGAGTGCCTTAACCACCTGGCCATGCCGGGCCTTTATTATTTGAAGATCATATCTGAGAGGTCAATCTGTAACCTGAAGATCACTGTCAAAAGATCAATCTGTAATCTGAATATCATAACCAGTAGGTTAATCTGTAACCTAAAGATTACTGTGAAAAGGTCAATCTGTAATATGAATATCATAACCAATAGGTTAATCTGTAATATGAAGATCACTGTCAAAAGATCAATCTGTAATCTGAATATCATAACCAGTAGGTTAATCTGTAACCTAAAGATTACTGTGAAAAGGTCAATCTGTAATCTGAATATCATAACCAATAGGTTAATCTGTAATATGAAGATCACTGTCAAAAGATCAATCTGTAATCTGAATATCATAACCAGTAGGTTAATCTGTAACCTAAAGATCATTGAGAAAAAGTCAATCTGTAATCTGAATATCATAACCAATAGGTTAATCTGTAACCTGAAGATCACTGTCAAAAGATCAATCTGTAATCTGAATATCGTAACCAGAAGGTTAATCTGTAACCTAAAGATCATTGAGAAAAGGTCAATCTGTAATCTGAATATCATAACCAATAGGTTAATCTGTAATATGAAAATTACTGTGAAAATGTCAATCTGTGATTGGAATATCATAACCAATAGATTAATCTGTAATATGAAGATTACTGTGAAAATGTCAATCTGTGATTGGAATATCATAACCAATAGATTAATCTGTAATATGAAGATTACTGTGAAAATGTCAATCTGTGATTGGAATATCATAGTCAATTGGCCAATCTTTAATACAAAGCAGCTTTATTCCAAAATAGTTCAGCTTGCATTAATTTCTTAAAATTACAGACTTACTGGGTCATCTAACAGCAAAGGAGAAACACCAGAACATCCCTTTTGTTTACACCACAATTACAACACATGATTGAGATGAATATAAAGACTCCATTTCCAATATTAAAAGTTAAAACATCTACCAAATCTGAGCTCACACAGCTAAACTTGATGAAAAATTCTAGATAACACACCTTCACACCCTTTTTAATTGGCTTTACACAAATTTTGGCTCTTTCAAAAAACATCTGTCTTGTACATTTTCTGACAAGTGGATCTCTTGAAACCTGCATTGCCACCATGAACTTTGCTGCTTTTAGTGCTTCTTCAGCAGTAGCAAATCGTCTGAAATAAAAAAATTACACATCGACACAATACAAAAACAACTGATACCTCTGAGAAGAAATAATGGTAATTTAAGGATATGCAGGTAAAAATTATTGTAACTTATCAATATCAACCATTAACAATTGGGAAGATCAGGGAATCCAATTAAATGAGCTGTTAGTAAATGAAATGATTACTTTCTTAAAGCAGATCATCAAAAATATTACCAAGAAAATACGTGTGTGTTTAGACTGCCATAATGTCAACAATACTTGTGAACCCCAAGTATAAGACCTACAGAGTAATGATAATGGAAGTTTAGTTTAATTAAATAAGCTGTTAGTCTAAACTTCCATTATCATTACTCTGTAGGTCTTATACTTGGGGTTCACAAGTATTGTTGACATTATGGCAGTCTAAACACAAACATATTTTCTTGGTAATATTTTTGATGATCTGCTTTAAGAAAGTAATCATTTCATTTCTTATAATGATTAAACCAATTCAGAGTCCTAATGAAGAGGCAAAAAGACTGTCTTGCTACTCTTAACTACAGGGACAATAAAGAAACTGCAGTTCTCCTGCACGAAATAATTCTTGTACATGAAAATAAATTCAAAAATATGTATATAAAAAATACTACACAACACATAAACAGTTGAAACAAATTATGAACTAACAGGTAAGCTTACAGAAGTTACTTGTAAACCACTGAGTAAGTTAGTCACCTCACCACTTTATGTAAAGACTGAAGTCCAACAAAATGACTTGCAAAAAAGGGTTGAGTTAAATACATGATTATTCATAATGCATTTGCCTACGTGTTTTTGCAATGAGCCAATTTCCATTGGTCAAACTCTCTAAACTAGAAGCTATGTAGTGAGTTGAAGGCTACCTGACAATAGCTGTAAACAAAAGCTCTGTCCAACAAGAATTGTGCATATGGCTTTCATGAGTGTCATTATCCATTACGTGGTTAGGTCACTTGCACTCATACTACAGCTTATTTATCACTGCAAGATTGCAAAGCAGTAAACAATAACCAATAGTTTCAAGTGTTTTTCAATTTCTACAAAACCTATCATGCTCTCTATCCAAGAGAAAGATTCTGATGACGAAATTAAAATAAAATCTGATACATTATCAAAGTAGAAGAAAATAAAAAACAAACTTGATCATCTTTTTGGCTATAATAAAATCTTAAACAATTACCATATATTTGTGAAATCAATGAAGATTAGAAAATAATAATGCTTTGCAAAATGTGTACACCTGCTAATGAAACCAACACTTTTATCACAGGAGGCTGTGATATTAAAAAATTTGAATTGAAATGGTATGGAGAAACAAACCCATGCTCATATCTAAGTGACTAGTTTAAAGCAACTGATGCAGGATCAAGCTGATTAATAAACAAAAAAGATTACATAAGTGTATATACCATTAGAACTCGAACTGTTTACTATTTCACAAAAATATTTAAATAGGACAACAATTTCATGAACCTCACTGACCTACAACCAATCAACACATGCCCAGAGTTTCAAAATAAAAGGACATATTGGCACCATTAAGATGCTTCTGAAATACATGAATGTAACAATGACTTCACACAAGAAAACATCAATAAAGCTATGGGAAAGAGCCCCTTTATGTTACACTTTAAACCAGGGTTTCCCAAAGTGGTCGATGAGACTGTACATGGGGCAAATAAAGACTTAGGGGTCAATAGGAGGTCAAAAATGGCCCCTAGGGTATGGTTGGCCTATGCAACTAATGGTTGTATGACAACTGCCCCCACAGCCATATCTTCTTACATCTTATAGAAGAATGAATTACCTAAAGAATCAACTGTAGGACAACAAACATTGTAGAAGATTTTCAAAACCACATTTTGTTGGACTTTTTGAGAGGAATAGCCCATAACTTACAGTTCTAGTGTACTTATATTATATAACTTTGCATAGTTCAACATTTTTATTTTATTATAATAAACAAAACTTAACATAAAACCTGTCTTAATTTCTCCTATTTAAATATGTACTTACATTATATAATTTTGCATAGTTCAACATTATAATTTTACAACAATAAACAAAATTTAACACACAACCTGTGTTATTTTCTCCAACTTAATCAGTTTTAGATAATTCATTCTTCTATGAAATACAAGAAATATGTTTTTTTTCCCTATTTTAGTCAGTTATATAAATATAACAAAATATGGCTGAGGAGGCAGTTGTCAGGTTACCGCAACTAACTGCCCTATGTCTAGTAGCAATAGCAAGGGAAGGATGTTCGTTCCTTTTCTTGAATTTTCCACAATGTATAAATTCACATAGTAATGAAAAATACATATTTTAAAAATAAATTTAAATTTAATTACTTGTTTTATTTTATGCTTCTTAAAAAGTATTAATTTGGGGGTCGATAACAACTTTATAAGTTCGTCAAGGGGTCATCAACTCAAAATGATTTGGGAAACCATGCTTTAAACAACAAAACTGTAAGTTTGAGTACACAAAAACTGAGTACTTTCTTTCATTGTGTTAAAAATGGGCATGCTAAAACAGTTCTTCATGAAAATTATACAGAGAAAATAAAGATGAAGAGACCATCTTCAATAAACTGTGACAGCACTGAGGAAAACTGCTGGTTTGGCATTGGACAGGATCAATGTAATATGATGGTGTAAGACTGAAAGCTTGTTCACAACATCTTATGCATCTAGAATGCATTGCAAAATAACCAAACTTAGTAGCTTCTCAAACATGAAAATTTAAAGAGCTCGATTCTTATATGGACATTGTCAATGTCTCCACGAATTATGTGCTGTGAATAATCCAAGTGACTTAAAAACGTTTGAAAGAATCATATTATTTATGCTGTCACTAACCACAGTGACTGAAAGCACTGATGTCTAAGCTTGTTTTTGGCTTTGGGTGACAGGATGCTAATAATAAATAATTTGCCAATAATTTTCTCAGAAAAATTGAAAATCTTTCTTTGTGGCCATAACAAATAACTTCTGAACATCTTGCCTATCATAGACAGACTGATGCAAGATTTTCAGTAGGATGACATTAATTTGTCAAAGATTCAAACTCAAGTAACTGGTGCCATTTCCAGTTTAGAGCAACTTTTGTAGCAATTGTTTTCAGCAGCATGGGAGCAAGAATTCATCAAACTAGTGGCACTTACAAAGGCCAGATATTAACCTAACCAAGTCCATCAAATGTGAAAACTTTCTGCAAAGTGAGCAATCCTTTTATTTAAGCTCTTCTTCACAACTTAAATCAGCATTTTCCTGAGACAGGTCTTGATCTGCTGATGTCATTTTGATGTGTCTTGTACTCAAAATATTTCCCTATATGAGTTGTGTAACTTTGAAAAAAACACATGATGAAATTACTGCACACTACACTTGTGTTAAATGGTGACACATTGAGGGGAGATTTCCTACAGTAAAAGTTTATATAGTGAGAACCTGGTTTGCTGAGCTTTGCAAAAAACATACAGAACTTTCAGGATAGATGCTTTTCCATGAATTTCCAAAATTTGCCAATGTGTCCTTCTGCATCCTAATCAGAAGTGTGCTTTGTAGGTGCAGAGTTAGTGTCTAAAATAATGTAAAAACTTGATTAGTCATGGATGACTAGCAAGTATACCAACTGACTGACATTGATCATCATGAAATTCTAAAGTGTTAGCAACAACTGGCATAGTTCAGAATGCATGCTACTTGTTCAAACAATGCAAAGATCATGCTCAATACTGAACTTGAAATGAATATCTGTAGCTTTTTCTTGTCTTGCCCTCCCCAAATAAAAATCCTTGCTGTATTCTGTATTGACTATTACACATTTTTATATCTGAGATAGGACTTTCTTGGTACCTAATGCATTTCATAAGATTCTTTTTCACACAAAGCATGTGACCTTAAAACAAGCTAGACACATCAGCTGTCAGTATACAGGCAGAAAAGTATAACAATGTGGCTTGAAAACAAAGCTAAACTACACACCTCGTGTAAAGACAGATAAACCAGATGAAGTAATTTTTAAACTAAGATAGACAATCTTAACAGTTGGTGTAAATACAGATAAATCTGATGTAAATGAGTTGTAAACCCAGCAAGACATTTCACCAGTTAGGTTTAATAAAGAAAAGAAAAAATGGTTTATAAACCAAGATGCACAGTTCACCTTACAGTGTAAAGAGATAAACATTTGACAAAGTGGCTTGTAAACCAAATTAGACAATACTGTACAGTGTAAATACAGACAAGTCTGATGAAATAGCTCTTAAGCCAAGGTAGACACCCCATCAGTTGGTGTAAAGACAAACAAGACTGATAAAATTATTTTTAAACCAAGATAGACACTCAACATCAATTGGTGTACAGACAGACATGTCTAATGAAATGGTTAGATACCCCACCAATTAATGTAATGACATACAAGTCTGGAAATAGCTTGTAAAATAATTTTGGCACCATAATAATTAATACAAAGGCAGACAATTCTACAGAAGTGTATTGTATGCTAGTACTCAATAAAAGGGTGTGATAAACTCCAATAATCAGGTATTACAACATATTAGCCATTGTTACAACGATTCTGATAATTAAAGCATTATATCATATTCTGTTTTACAACTAAGGAACATTTCATATCAAAAGTTAAGCTAGCTAAACATATCAAATATAAAACAATATCTGTAATAAAAGAAGGTTGCCTGGTATAATAAACTATCTATAAACCACTACACCATATTATTACATACTAAACCAACAGAGAAAAATATTCTTTACAACTACAACAAATTAAAGATTATAACAGATAATTTATTAATGAAAGTTAATGCACAATTCACATATTTCCACTAACCTGCAGACATATTCTCCCGCTACTTCAAGAGGTGATATCGGGTATTGGTCCACTTCATGACGTTGATAATTATCTCTTAAGTTCTCTCCAAATTGTTCTGGTGTCAGCCCAAATTTTTTAGCCAGCCCATCTGTACAATTCAAAAAGTTATGTTTACCAATACACAAGGAATTTACAATAAATGAGTCAATTTTGGTACAGTGTATGGTGGTACAGGCAATGAATCAGTTTTTATACTCTCTAGAGTGATGTTACAGGTAAAAAGTCAGGTTTGGTACTGTTTAGAGTAATGTTACAGGCAGTGAATAAGTTTTCAGTAATGTTACAAGTATGAATTCATTTTTGTACTATTTAGGGTGATATTACAGACAATGAATTAGTTTTGGTACCAGGAATACTACACTTATACAAATATGAAATTTCATGACTTTTCAATGACCATTTTTAAAAGTTCAAAGATCATTTTGTGTGGGTTACACAAGAAACTGCACCTGGACATACATGTTTTCAAATCTAAAGATTATATGAATATTGATAATGTTTTATATGATGAAAAAAAGTAGTATTTTTTATTATTTATCTAGCAATGTTCAAATGGAACTGAATTATTTGAAAATAAAAATTTTAAATTGTTTCAGCACTTCTTGTTTTCACTGTGAAAGCTTTCAAGGATTCTCCCTTATAGCTTTCCTCAGGGAATTGATCACTGTGAGAAGGCTAAAGTTTCTTTCCTTTTCATCTTTCTTAAAGTTTTCATCAGCTGATGAAAGAAGCTACTTAATTTCAGACTCAAGTCTGATCTTATAATTGAAATCTTCCAGTTCCAATTCAGTTTTTTCAACATTTCTCTTGTCACCTTTCTGTGGCTTCTGTTTTCTGAACTTCTCCTATACTTTTATCTTGCATTTCCAATAAAGATAAGCAATTACACAGTAATGTTTACATTCAGGACACCCCAGCATGTCTAATGTGGTCAATTATAAATAGTTGGTTTTCTGTAACATCTTTATTTACAGAGAAACCCATTTTGACACTAGCATGTTCATGAGAAAGGGAGAGGAGAGTCCACAAACTCTTCAAATCAACTGGAATTGTTTCTTGTCTGAAATACAGATTATACAGTTCATCCTGTCTTCTCTGAAACATATGAACTTATGAATTAGGCAATTGCAAAGATATCATATCTGGATTCAAGTAACTCGTGTTCCTTACCAAGCTGTAAGTTAACCCTTTCGAGACGGGTCACAGGTGAAAGGCCATATCATCTCGTTTGTTCACTATCATTCAAAATTTTATTAAACTACTATTTCATGAATTTATTTCAATAAGTTTGGTATGTATCAAACTGTAGATTATAATTCTAATTTTAGATTCATTATTCAATTTCTTAATTTAAATGTAAATATTAAAAAACACAGAAAAACGTCGATTTGTGTGTGTCATGTGGTATGTTGAATGCAGCACTGGTTCAAATTAGATGTTTGTGAATTCAAAATACTAAGTTTACAGTTTCATACAAATTAGAAAGTCAAATTACCAATAGTGACAAGCTAGAACATAAAATAAGGAAGTCTTATCTTTTCTATTTGCTAAGATATTGCTCGTGTAATAAATCAAACACAGTGGCACCCACCCACTTCTTTCCATTTTTGGAAACGCTCCCTTATATACACTTACTTCTATATAATTACATGAATAACCAATCGGAAGCTCAGAATGTCCCCCTAGTGGTTTTCTCAGCCTTTCTAACGTGGCTAGCACCATTTCTTTCTTTTTTAACCTTAGATTTCATTGAGATTGGTTGTGTCTTTAGTCTGTTCAAAATTTCATATACATCTTAGTTACTAAGCTTGATAAATTATAGTTGAATTCTATGGTATTGATGTAGTAATCTACGATTTTTTGGTTATTCAAATGTAAATATAAAACCTAAAAAAAAAATATTTTGTTTCATATCATCCACGTGCAAAATTTTTAAAGGGTTAGCAACCTATGTGAAGCATCAACCAAGTACAAAGGTTGTAACTAG